AGTAATTGTTAAATTTCCTGATTTATATAATTTTTTTTCTTTCTGTTTTGAAAATATTTTTTTTGAAAACTAATTTATATAATTTCTTACCACTAATTATCTGACACGTGTCAACATCTTATCAATTCAATTAACACGTGTCACGATCTTGTTCATGACTAAATTTGAAAATCCAATTTTATATAATAAGATAACATATATTTTTCTTATATATATATATTTATGGAATTTATTAATTATATGGTTCAACGGTAACTCTTAAATTTTAGAGATGATATAATTTATATTTATATTACTAGCAAAGTAACCCGCGCTTCGCCGCGGTTCACTGAAACTGTAAATATTGTTTGCATTACTACTAATAATTCTGTTTGACTACATGATTAAAATTATATTTTATTTCATTGTTTTTTTTAGTTGTTTGGGAACACTTACAAATGGTGCTCTTTTGAATAGTATAAGATAGATAGATAGATGTGCACATGGAAACGTGGTTCATAATATAACCATTAGAATCCGAACCTTTAAAGTTTTGAGTATCAAAATATGTGCCTCTTTTGTAACGGAGGGTCCAAAACTGTCCTCTCCAAACCTGAAATGGAGAAGAGCCACGAAATAAGGATTCTATGTGTCCATGTGTGTGTCTTGTGGTGAATATCACATTCTACGGCTAACAACCACATCCTTCACTTATACTCTTTGCTCCAACGTCGTTACGTTTACGTCGCAATCTCTCAAATCGTCTCGTCTCTCTCAAGTCTTTGTTTTTATTCTAAAAGCTCACCAATGGTCCCAAATGCATTATCCTATTTTATCAAACAACAGCTCATTGACATGGTTTCATTTACTGTTAAAATCGTGGTTGATGATAATAAATATTATAAAACTTTTGCTAAGAGTTTGTGTTTATTACATGGAAACAACTTTAAACTTTAAAAACTGTATTTAAAGACATATAAGAATAAGGAACTAGAATAATCGTACGTTGAAGATTAAAGATAGAGGATGTCAATCGAAATAAGACCATTTCTCATCCTCGCCCTTGCCGCCGCCGCCAGCTGGAGCTTCGTCGCGGTAGTAAACGCCGAGGTTGTTGATTGCTGCGGTGAGAGCGTCTGCGGATGTTTCCATGGAAAGGTAAGGCATGTTGTTGAATGAACGAGCAAGACACGATGCAGCTACTAGTTTTTCTTTTCCAATATCACCACAAGCTTTGTTGTTGTTCATCTGCTCCTCGGCTCGGTGTTTAAGAGTCTGAAACATGAGCTCAGGCTCGTGCTGCATCGCTCTGAGGACATCAGCGGAAGATTGGCCCATTACAGCACGGGTCACTGCGAATCCGTGAGGTCCATCGCTCTGCAAGACTCGGACTACACTTGGTCCACCGAACAGATTGTGGACTCCACCAAGAGCCTCCTCATAAGCCCCGCCCAGGAACATTCCCAAATAGTACCGATCCCCGCTGCAGCCATTGTTGTCCAGCTCGTGCAACGGCAAGCTCGATTCTCCGCCTATGAACTTGTTGATCTTTCCATCACTGTCACACGTCAAATCCGATAAGATCCCTCTCGCCACAGGCCTTTGATCAAGTTTATGGATTGGAACTATAGGAAACAGCTGATCAATCCCCCAGAAATCAGGAATCGAAGTGAAAACCGATAGATTGACATTGTAAGTAAGAACTGGATCCGCTGCGCCAATCGCCTTAATCACCGACTCGCATAATCCATCAACACCAGCTAACTGTTCAATGCCCAAGGAACCTTCTTTGAACCCTTCAACACATCTCTGCTTCAGCTGATCAACATAAAGCAAGCAGCTTTCGCGATCACCACGCATCGCAGCACCATAAAGATTCTCGTAATCATTTCGGACTTCCTCCGAGTAGCCTTCAAGCATAAACTGAACATCAGTTGGCGTTTCATGTTGTTTACCAGCTGAGACAGCTTCAAAGATCAACACCGAGTGATGTGAGACAATGGCTCGACCGCTCTCACTGCAGATCACTGGATGCTTCACAGATTTCTGATCACAAACAAACCTCACCGATGCCACAACAGCTGCAGCATACTCCTCAAGACTGTAAGCAACAGAAAGATCCGACTCCCCCGATTTAGACCCGTCGTAATCAATCCCCAATCCACCACCAATATCAATTACTTTCATATGAGCACCGAGACGGATAAGCTCACAGTAAAGCTGAGCAGCCTCAGCCACCCCATCAGAGAGCAAAGCCGTGGAGGGAATCTGTGAACCAATATGAAAATGCAGAAGCTGGAGACAATCAAGCATACCCACTTCACGAAGCTTCCGAACCACACGAACAATCTGAATAGTAGTCAACCCAAACTTGCCTTTCTCACCAGAAGTAGAACCAAAATGACCAGAATGCTTGGTTCTCAGCTTAGCTCTTAACCCAATAACAGGCCTCACGTTCATCTTCCGGCTCAAATCAATAACCAAATCAAGCTCTTCTTCTTGCTCAAGAACAATCACAGTATTCAATTCCAGTTTCCTCCCAAACAAAGCCAATGAGATATACTCAGAGTCTTTAAACCCATTACACACAAGAAAAGCCTCAGTGTTACCTTTACACAAACAACTCATAGCAAGAAGTATCTCAGGCTTCGAACCAGCTTCCAACCCGAATCGAAAACTCGATCCGAATTCCACAATATCTTCGATAATGAACCGATCTTGATTACATTTCACAGGATACACACCTTGGTAATGAGAACCATAGCCTTGAGTCTGAATCGCGTAATCAAACGCTGATTGAAGACACTGAAGACGATTCTTCAGAACATCAGGGAAACGAACGATAAGTGGAAGCTGTAATCCCAAACCACCGGAGATTTTCGGATCTGTCACCTTCTTCACAACTTTCATCAGATCGATGTCTTGGTGAGGCAAAGTGTTAGAGCCATGAGGACGAACAGAGATGTTCCCTGACGAATTCGCCGCGAAATACGGAGCTCCCCATCCTTCGATACGGTAGAGCGAGGAGGAGAGCGACGGAGACCAATGGCAAGAACCGTCAATAGACGACGGAACAAAGACGGCGGAGCAATCACCGGAAAAGGTATCAATGGGAGTATCAACAAAAGCTAGAGCAGGCATCTTCTTCTTCTTCTTCTTCTTCTTCTTCTTCCTTCAACGAACGATTTTTCGAGAACAAAATTTTTGGATTCAAATTCTCAACAGGAAAAAAAAATTGTGGAAAAAATGAATTTGTGAGTATGTTAGAAGAATTGGGGGAATTTGAAACCCGCCGAGGCGAAGAGCCTCGGGGCTAACCCCCTCAAAAGAAGCAGAAGGTGAATCTATCACCACCGTGAAACCCGCCTTTTACGACCCGACCCGACCCGAAATTTCCCACGGTGACCGTTCAGAAGATAACTTAAAAAAAAGAAGAATCAAAACCGAATTGCAAAATCTGAATTTTCAACAGCGAAACAAAATGCGAACGAGAATTTTCTCAGGAAAATAAATGAAAAATGAGAATTTTCTCGGGGAAATTTCAGGGGAGAGACGTGGAAGAAGAAGAAGAGAGATTGGTGAGGATGAAGCGAGAATTGCATGAAGGAGGAAGCTTCGTTATATAGGAGAGAGAGAGAGAGTTGAGTTGGTGGGAGAGAAAAGATTCGGATGAGGTTGGATTTGGGCTTGGGCCCTATTTACGATTCTCTCCATTTATTTCTTTTTGTTTTTGAAAAATAATTAATAACTTTGACATTATTTCGTTGTCAAGAAAAATAATTTGAGAATTTTGCAGTCCATTTTTGACTATTGTAATATTGATTAATCAATGAAATAGATGTTTAAGGAAAAATATTCATGTTTGACCAAAAAAAGTAGAAAGATATATTCCTAATTACAATATTATAAAATTTGATATTCGAAAATCAGATTTTTGATTTAAGACTGAAAATATGAATGATTTTAGAATTTTATAAAATTAATTATATCTCTTGAGAATATATCCGGGATATTTCTAAAAAATTCTCTTGTTTTGTTTTTTCTCAACCATTTTATTGTAATATGTTTGCATATTACTTATTTTGTTTACTACATGTTTTATCTTAACAAACATAAAATAATTAATAGAATATTTATAATTATGCTAAATTATAAATAGTGAATTTGACCTGGTAGCTTTAATTTATACTGGATATGTGAAACTTTGTACTCTCCTGAGTCCTGAGTGACACCTAAACGTATAAAAAACGAATGTTTTATTTCTAACATTAAAGATAATCCTCATTAATAATAAAATTGTTGAAAAAAAAGAGAGATAATCCTCATTAATATATATATTTAAGGTATTCGAATTAATACACTCTATACTAGACTTAAGATATCCTAATATTTTTGCATGTTATGATTTTCAAATTTTGTTTAGGAAACAAAAAAAAAAAAAAATCTTGAATATTAAGTAAGAATAGCTGAATAGGAAGCATCGTGTGACAGCCTATTCACCCCACTTATATGGTAAACATTTGTTATCCAAAATTTAGTAAAATTTTATCTTTTTATGAAATATCTTGTCATTTCAAGTTCAATGCATTTGACTAGAATATTTTTAAAGTGTGTGTTATTGCAATGGTAAAATTTATTTCAATTAGATCCAGTTATATTTAGACTTAATAAAACCCAATTATAAATTTGTTAATATCATATATTTGTAAACCAAAATAAGTATAACTTTTAACCAAAATATCCAAAAATATTTAGACATATTTCTCAAAATTTAATTGAACTTTATACAAATATATATATTTAAAAAAAAATTATATTACTTTGGATACCTGAAATCAAACTAAAAATAACCGGAACCAAACTAAATCAATTTGAAACCGAACCGAACATGCGATCCTGAACCGAACCGAAATACTCAATTCATGTGGTACGCTCTCGTAGATGTATAAAAAGTCGGTATAACCGGTTCAACCTCAATAAGTATACACAAAGCTTCTTCTATTAACACACAATACAAAGTTCTCTCGCTTACGCTCTCGTTAAAAAGCTCTGAGAGAGGGTTAGGGTTTCGTGAATCATCTTCTTTAAGTTTCTCGATCTGTTTGGGATCTGTAACTATGGCGGCGACAGAACCGAAGGCGGCGACTGCTGAAGTGGTAAAGGTGGATCTGTTCGAGGACGATGATGAGTTCGAGGAATTTGAAATCAACGAAGGTGAAGTTTTATTTTATCATCACTCGTTGCTTCTTTGATTTCTGAATTTGATTTCATCATCATCGGTTATATAGTTTTAGCGCTGAAGCTACGATGTTCATGGATATACAATTAGGAATTGATTGTGTGATTAGGTTTTGGTATAAATAAGCAAAGACTTCATATGTTGGAATTGGGAATTGTTTCGGGTCATTTAGTCCTCTAAAAAATTGAACCTAGGCTACTATTTCTTTGATTTTCACAGATTCCGCTTTGCAAGTTAGTCCTTAGATCTATCTATAGTTGTATTGAGAAGAATTGATAACGATGGTTCTCTACTGCTATGAAGTTTAGTAGTTGTGATGTGAAAACTTTGATCTGTGTTTGATGTCATTTTGCCGGTGTGAGATATGCTTATGCATTTTTTTTAACATATAGTTTTAACCAAGAAGCTATAATTTCATAAACTTCACAGCAGTTCTATAAGCAACTGGTTTGTGTTTAGGTTTAGTATTAATAGGCAAAGCTTCATTTTCTAAAGGTTATGGTGGAATTGGGAATTTTATTTGGGGTATTGAGTTAGCTTGGAGAGAGTTGGGATCTTCTAGGATTTAATCTAGGCTATGGTTATCTTGATTTTGGTTTCTGTAAACCTTTTGATTTTGCAATCTGCACCATATCTTGTTCCGTGATCTGATTCTGATTATAATTTAGTCTTCAGATTTAGCTAATTGTTGTATTGAAAGCATTGATAAAGAAGGTCTTTATTTGTATGAGTTGAGTAGTTCTGATGTGGAATGGATTTTTTTTTTTTTTTTTTTTATATGTTTGGCAGATTGGCTGGAGAAAGAGGAAGTAAAGGAAGTTAGCCAGCAGTGGGAAGATGACTGGGATGATGATGATGTCAGTGACGACTTCTCGCGTCAGTTAAGGAAGGAGCTTGAGAATAGTAGTGAGAAGAAATGAGGTCAGAAGAATGTGAAAGGCAGGCTCGTCTTCTTGTTATGATCCGGTACTTTGTTTGAATTGCATCTTCGGTTTATAGTGACATATATCAGTATTGGTTCTCCTTTAACTTTGCTCCTTTTACTCTTCCTTGGATGCAAAATTTCTTATCTTTGATGATGGATTTATAAACTTGAGTTGGTAAGATTCTATTTTAGTAACCCTTGCCGTGTAGAGCATTTTCTCACAAGCATCTTCACAGTAAGTAGAGCATAAAAGACATTTGTAATGACAAATTAGACCACAAAATGTTATCTATCAACAACACACAAATGATAAATAAAAGCAGAGAGAGAGACCCTTAAACATCACAATATAACTGTAGGGACATTCACATAGACAATGGTAAACACTATTGTTTCTTTCTAACAGTCATCGCCTCCTTCGTCGTGATACTCTGCTTCTTTTGCGAATTATGGCGTGATCTTGTGTAGGATCGATCAATGAAGTATACAATCTTTAGGAATAATCACAGAGAGTCTCCCCCAATTCCTGTCTTGAGAACGGTCTTGACACAATTGTTGCGGGATACTTGTTTGTAGATATGGTTTATGATAACTTGGGTGCTCATTGTGCTTAGTTGCTTGCAGTTTTCTTAATATTGAAGAATGTATGTTGAAAGCTTTAGTGAAAGAGAGAAACCGTTTCCTCCAACCATGGCTTTTAACGTTTAGATACTTCCAAGGTGTGTTGTGGGGTTGCTTTGATTCGGATTCATAAAGTGATAAGAGATAAGAAGGCATCCTATTCCCATAACTGGAGAATACTCATCATGTGGTATCAGTTTGATTTTAAGGTCTTCTGTATGTATAAAAATGTTTTGTTCAGTAGACGAAGCTATCTCAGGACAAAATTGGAAGACACCAAAAGATGAATCTCATAACACTCAAGATGGTATCAGAAGCAACCTTCTTTATAAACAAAATATTATCAAGTTCATCAAGACAAATGCGGACAATACAAGAATACAAAAAACAAATGCCAAGCTCTTTTTTATTACCGAACCAAACAAATAACATCCTACACTTAAAGCAACCACCAACCGAGGAAAGAGCACATACAAAGTTCCACATAAATATCGGCTTCACATACAAAGTTCCAAGAATCCACGAAATATCAGCTCCCGATGCTACATACCGCACAAATAAGTTGATCGATAAGCAAGTACCTGGAAATTTTGACATTCGTTTGTGTTCCTCAATCTGCTCTGGACTGACCAGCTCGAGAAGATAAGATGATGCCTACAATGAGGCCGTAAAGAGCCAGCGCTTCTGCAAAGATGAGGATAAGAATCATCCCGACAAAGAGCTTAGGCTGCTGCGCATTTGCCCTGAGAGAAATTTAAATACCAAACAAGTCAAAATACATCATTAATGTAAACATTCTCTACAAATGATTATAGTTGAGAGAGGAACAAACCTGACGCCCGCATCTCCGACAATTCCAATGGCCATACCAGCTGAGAGTCCAGCAAGACCACAAGCAAGACCAGAGGAAAGATGTGCATACCCATCAAAGAGGTAGTAAGACTTAGCCTTGGGATTGATACCAGTACTGATGATAACAGCAATAATAAGTCCATAAATACCCAAAACACCAGCCATAACTACAGGGACAATAGACTTCATGACCAACTCAGGTCTCATCACTCCCATTGAAGCCACACCAACACCACTCTTTGCTGTCCCATAAGCAGCTCCCATACCTATATACCCAATCCATTGAAAATTTCAGGTTACAACCAAACACTACCCAAAGTTTTTTTTTTTTTGGTAAAAGACACTACCCAAAGTTTAATTAAGGGAATGTAAACAAATCAAAACCTAACTCCAGATTCTGATCTAAACTTAATCTCCTCAGAATTGAGAGCTATATGTTACACAATACATATTTATGATGATGCAATAGCATTGTTTGAAATCATAATTTGAAAAATCATGTAGATGCAGATCGAACCCTAAGAACACTTATCCATGATCCATGATCAACGATCACATTACAAACGACGTGATCTCCACATATCTCTATGATTTCAAGTAAACAGGAACATGCTCAGATTCAAAGATATTTTGATAACGAATTGAGAAAAGAGAAGTGAAATTGCTTACAGGAGAAGACGAGAGCGGCTGCGGCGCCAAGGAAGCCGAAGAACGGAGCAGTTTCATCGCCGCTGAACGTAGACATCTTTCTCACCGGATCTCTAAAACTTGGATCGGATCGTTCAAATCTGGAGGGAGAGAGAGAAAGAGAGAGAGATTTGGAATTTTGCAGCGACCTCTCTGTGATTTTGGTTTTTTTTTTTGGATTTTTTTTTCAGATGAGTGGAAGAGAACGACGTAGTCTGTTCTTGTAAATAGAGTTGTACACGTTGTAATTGAAACTGGGCCGGGCCGGGCCGGGTCTTCCCTAACTCTTAGCTTAAATGATGTATAGATAATTGTGGTTAGATGTTTAAATTTCTATGTGAATAGATAGATGTGAGTAAACTTAGACAATATAGTATTATTAATTTGGGAATTTAATGAAAAAAACTCTCAACATCGGCCGGATCCATTTTTAAACCCTCAACTATTTTTTTAGTAAATAAAACACTGAACTAAAAAACATTAACAAATTTAACCCTCCGTCTATAAAAGCATACATTTATACCGTTAACAATTTCGTATACTCTAGCAGAACAATAAAATGAAAACGACTAGGCATATTTTTAAACATATTACGATCACAACACAATTTCTCGATTATAGTATTCTGCAACCTGATGGAAAATATAAAATTTTCTCCTATTTTATGCAAAATGCTTATTCTGAAACATATTTACAACAACAAACAAAAAAATTTGACTTACCACAATATTTTACAAAATTCAAACCAGATGAAATAGACATATGTTCTCTCAATACCTCACTCCATAATGGAGACTGGATGAGTTAATGTCATCCATCATTAAATTTTGATTATGCGTCTCACCCTCGATTAACTCTGTGTCAATCGCCTATTAAACCTACTTTAGTTTCTTTTTCACTAACCGTTCAACATTTGGAATTTTAAGGTTTTAGGATTTCACGATTTGAGAGTTTTTTTGGTGATCTATTATTCGACGTGTGAACGTTTATGGAAAACGAAGGTTCTTAAGAGAAGGTTTGTTGTTAATTTTTGTATTTAAAAACTAATGCTTAGTCTTTTTTTGTTTCAGTTAAACAAACGTTGATTGCATAGAAGAGATTATTACGGGTGTTTAGGTTTTTTATAGATGGAGAGTTAAATTTGTTAATGTTTTTAGTTCAGGGTTTTATTTACTAAAAAAATAGTTGAGGGTTTAAAAATTGATCTCACCAATGTTGAAGGGTTTTTTTCATTAAATTCCCTATTAATTTTAGTGAAACTAATTTAGAATATTCCATGTATTCCAACTAAAAATAATTTATACCTCTTACTACAATACATTGTCATTTTTTCATTAGTATAAATATATATAAATACACCTCTTGCTTGACAATTTTCTTAACCTTTTACTTATTTAATTTGAATAAAAAATTACTTGATAGGTTGATGTCAAAAAAATGTATTACTTCATAGGTGTGGAATATATTTATAGTTCTGTATTTTCCAAACTCTCAATGGAGATGGTCTTATAAAAATATTTCCAATATTTATATATTTACTAGAACTAGGTAGAATTATTTTGATTTTACTCTTATTTTTAATGAACCACATTTTTTACGATCTCTTGCATTTGGCGATGTTCATTTAATCAGCGACAAAATAATTTTTTTTTCCAAAAATATCATTACATTTTTTATTTTCTAAAAATACTATTAAAAGAAAATTTTCCAAAAATACCACAAAACTGAAACTAATATTTTTAACATTCAAAATTAATTTCTAAATCCTAAACACTAAACCTACCTGTAAAAACTATACTCATAATATAAATAGTCAACCCGAACATCAAAAATAATAATTATACATCTTGAGAAACCAACTTTTTACGTTTATGGTATTTTTGAAAAAATAAAAAATTTATAGTATTTTTGGAAATAAAAAGAAATTGTGGTATTTTTGGAAGAAAAACTAAAATGATGGTATGTAAGGGAATTTCTCTTTTATTAATCGATAATTGTTTCATTAATGTGTTATTATTTAAATAAAATACTAAAAAAAACAAAAAGAATTGTTGAAAATGCCCTTTTTGGTGTACCCTTTTTCAAAAATACACCTCTTTTCTATCCATTTTCAAAGTACCTATTTTCAAATATGAAAAATTATAAATTTTTACATGGTTGATAAGGTACATCAAGATCATCATTACTATTCGGAGACTAAATCCAAATTTTATAAGGTTTTAAAAGGTTCTAAACATCATTTATAAGGTTTTTACAAAAATTTTAAAAGGTTCTAAACGTCATTTATAAGATTTTAATAAAGTTTTTAAAAGGTATTTATACTATATTTATAAAATATATATATATATATAAATTTACACACATAGAAAGATAATTTGTGTCTACGCTTACACATATTTGTTTTGATAAATTTCAAAATTTACAGTGACTTTTTGATAAAATTAGACTAATGAGTATTTTTGAAATTCTCCTAATAATAAAAGTCGCAATTACTTACTCGTGGTACAATCCACTATTAAATTTAATATCTAATCATACTTTGATTTATACGTAGTGGATTATATTGAGGTTTCCACCAAGAATAAAAATTTGAGTGTGGTAAAATTGGAAAAATATTAAAAATGTAAATTGCAGAATCTGTAGCACTTATCTTGAGTCCATATGTATCTCACGTTCCACCAAGCAATATGAAAGGACCGTCGTATAGAGACGCCATCGTATAGAGACGCCATCGTGGAAACTACGCAGAGCTTGAGACTTTGTAGGTGCTCACATGAGGAAAATCAAAGGTTAATTAATAGTTTCAATAATATATAATTAAGTTTTTGAATTAAAACAGAAAAAAGACAAAAACTAATAGCTAAAACATTTTCAAAATTTAACTAATTCTTTAAAAATTCTTCAAATTTACAAAAAATATAATAATTTTTTTCCTCCAAATTTCTTAAGAATTCCTCAAAAATTCTACAATACCATTTAGACAAACTTCTTACTTAAATTGCAATATCTGAAGATTAAACTTATTGAGTTCACAATCACATATACAAAGTTGGATAACATTACGGACAAAGGAAATATTTTCGTGGATTTGATTGTACGAATCATTTATCAATAGCAAACAGTATATATTTTGCATATAAAGTAATAATAGTGGCATTTTCTACCTGATAAATGATAAAGACAATAAGATTTAGTTATTTATGAAATTTGGTAGCTACTAACACACTAAATATATATATATATATATATATATAATATAATCCAAGTTAGCTACATAATGTATAATGTGAACTATTAATAAGATTTAAAAATTTAAAAATTAATTGAAATTGATACAAGTGTTAACGTAAAACACTGAAAGTATCACAACGATCCATTTTGGATCGAGATATTTCTTTTTAAGTTTCATCTTACAACGATGATCACTACATTTACTCCCTCTATTTCAATTTAAGTGATGTTTTATCCCAAAAATTGTTTAATACTTTTTGATCATTCATATTTTATATCTTATTTTGTGATTGATTGAATTTCTTTTAATTAATGATGTTTTTATAGAAATTATATGTTTTCTTAATATGTGTGTAACAACCTTAAACATCACTTAAAATGAAACAGATGCCGTGTATTTCGTAAGACCAATGCAGTCCAACATCGAAAGGTTCCGAGGAGCTAATGTTTTCAAATTTCTCTACAAGAACTACGTAGTCGTCTTTTCTTCACCACTCTACATTTTCTTGGAAAACCCATAAATTAGAAAACAACGTTTTTTTTACGACATATACTTAACATTCATAATTAAAATAAAATAAAAATATTATTATTTGGTTTATTAACTTTAGCAATTAATATGCGACTTCGTAACAAAATTATTATGTTTAAATATTATTATTAGTTGGTTTATTTTTGTATTGTTGATAAAACCAAAATTGTTATAATTATCTAAATATAAAACCAAAATTATTATATTTATCTTGTTTCAAGTATTTTACAAACAACTTTTAGCATTGAAATTAGTTTTTAAAGTTTCAATGATAATTTAGTTTTAAAATGGAAACAAAAAAAAAAAACTAATTTTAAAGAATAAGTAATACATGTTACGTGAATTAGCTCAAAAGCGAATACGAATCGAAAAAAAAGTGCTCATTACGAATAATATAACAAACTGTAGGATACTCTTGTTTGTGTTAAAGACATTCTTGAAACGATGAAAACAACAACACCACAAAAGGCAACAAAGATGTTCAGAAGTTATCATTTACAGAAACATGAAAATTCAACCATTGTACAAACTTGGCTAAGCTGTGGTCTATCTCTTAACCATTTAGTAGACATGAGGGAAAATGGCATCCCGGTTAGTCGGATAATTCTCAAACTTCCGGAGATACCAGCGGTGTGTTTCTCCAGCTGCGTATGTCAGATTAGCAGCCTACAAAAAAAATACAGTTTCTCATAATCCAAACAAGATCAGAAACAAAGCATTCCATTAGTGATCATGCAAAATAAGAGAGTGAACCGTACCACGAATCCAAAGAGTAACCATATGCTTATGTCTGTTCCTCCACTCGCGATCAGTAAGCCCGCATATGAAACCTGAATTTTAGAGCTATCATATCATTGAGAGAAGAGTTGAGAAATATAGAAGAAAGTTAAAGATATCTATCAGTGAGGATTTATTACGATTTCTGCCAAGAAATGCGGACAAGAGACTATCCCAAACCAATCTCCATACGGAATTATATACTCTCTCGCTTGGCTCGGATTCTCCCGAAGTGATCCCTGCATTAACGTTTTGTATTTCTCAGGATCAAAGATTCATAAATATAAACAATGAGCAAATATCTAGTTGTTTAAGTTACAAGAATGGCGTGACAGCGGCGCTGATGTATCCATCCCCATAGAAAAATAACTCCACCAATCAACTGGGGATATCCAAGCTTCATCAAAGGGCTTATACAAAATATCAAATTTATTTCAGGTGCTGAAGTATGGCTTTTCCCATTCGCAATGAACTCAGCCACTTGATTCCCGACGAATCTTGCTACCTCTGGAGCAATGTTGGAGCAGAGTGACAAAGGCGCTGTTACATAGAAACTAGAAACACAAATTAAAGCCAAGCAAAAAGCACTAGAAAGGTGAGGAGTTTCTTAAGAAAACTTACAACAATCCAGCAAAATAACCGAGAATGTGCATCCGAGCGGTAGGGCTATATTTGAATACATAGATTGACTCTATAAGCCGTCTCAAGACATGTATCTCCATCAGAATAAGTAGAAACACCGCTCGCCACACTTTAAACCGATGCTCAACAGGAGTCATATGAGATTTATGAAAGGAGAAAACATGGGAACCTCCGGTTAAATGGCTTGCAATGTCGGATAACTGGAACTCCTCGGAAGATAAAGGCGCCATTTCGCAAGCATACAGCCAAGTTGCAGCAAGCAGGAGAGTCGTCCACACCACTCCAATAACATAAAAGTGAGCAAAGCATTTCTGAGGAATTGTAAACTTCTGCACAGAGAATTACACAACTGATTCACTAAGCCAAGTGTTTAAACCCTTTTCCACATATCGCTAACCGAAAACAGAACATCAAATCCAAACTAAAAGTGGTCTGCTTTCTTGTTTCCAATCAGATTTACAACAAAACTGATGACTAAAACACGATTAGGGAGTAGAGAAATCAGCAAAAACATATGATTACAAGAACAAATTTCAAACCTTTTTCACATCAACCAGATATTCAAACACAGTTTTCACACATAAATTGGGCAAAGTCACAGACTTTACACTTAAATCTGACTACTTGAACAATCGAAAATCCAAAAACAGAGCAGTTCTATAACTGAAACCAAAGATTCAAACTAAAAAGTGACATGCTTCTGATATACAACAAAATGACATATCAAAACAAAAAAAAAAAGTTTGAGTTTTTAGACGCATACCTGTGACGAGGGGTGAAGTATCTTGCCTCTACCAGCGAGACTCAAAACGAGTTCACGAAAAGAGTCAAGCTTTGAAGTGGGTATTGAAGCAATCAGCAAAGGAAGTATAGAGACGATCCAAACAGTGATCCAAGCGAATCTAACCAACCACACAATCTCCAATTGCATACCTTTTGGGTTTCTTCTCTCTAAATCACAGAAACAGAGAACCCCAAATCAGAGAAGAAAAGAATAATAAAACAGATACAAAAAATCTCAGATGCAAATTTGGAGAAAACATTGAATTGAGAAGTAGCAGTGAAGGGGAAGTAAAGATTTGTTACTATTTTTCTTCTTCAGTTTTCGTGGGAGGGAAAGACAATAATAACAAATCAGTTGTGAAGTCAATCGTTGAATCCTCTCTCAAGTTTGTGACTTTAGCTTTGATCTCTCACTCTGTTGTTGTTAATCTCGACTTATAAAAGTCAATGAACGTTTAATTATGTTTAATTAGTGATAATTGATAAAAGAACAAAACCATAAAACTCGGTTTAGTTTTGGTTTCGGTTCGATTTATGTTCGGTTTCGGTTATATGGGAAAGGAACAATTGGAATTAACCTTGTGATCAATGAGTGTTGTGACCTCAATGAGAATAGAGGCGATCTATCAAAATTCACAGGTTATGATGTTTGGGCTTTGTGGTGTTTTAGTCATAGAGGTTAACGGGCTTGAGATTGATTAGGCCCAAATTGAATGTTTTTGGGGGTCCATGAAGGAAATGGAATCGACAAAAGAAGAGGAGGAAGCAAGCAAGAGATCAAGCAAGGGACAAGACAAGAAGAAGAGAATTGTGTTGTGACTTTTTGTGAACATCAATTCTAATCCTATTAAGAAATACTAATATATTTTTTCTTAAGAAATACTAATACTTTTTTTATAACTCCTAAATATACACGATCATTATCTCTTCAATAACCATGACTCGGTTAGGATTACGATAGCTTCTAAATCAATCTAATTTCAAGCTTACTTCAACAACCAAAGATCAAATCAATTTCATTAAGTGAGAAACACAAAATGGTTAGTTCTATCATCTGCTTTAAGAAGATTAACTAAATTCAAATGATTAGTTTGTATTTTGTTTGTTATTAGAATACATGAAATCATCTATAGTAGCCTCACAACTTTTAATATCATACTTTATCAGTTTTTTCACATCTATTAAGTAATTTTTTGTTGGATGACAAAAAAAAAGAAGTAATTTTTTGTTCTTTTTTTTTTGTCAACCACACATTAATTAAAATATTACTCCATGATTGTTAGCCCAACCAGGAGGTCTGTATATGAATTTTGGTTTAAAATATTTATATTTAATGAAAAATGACAATGTATTAAAGTAAGAGGAATTAACAAAATCTAGTTGGAATACATGGAATATTCTATATTAGTTTCACTAAAATTAATAATATTAGAATTTTGGTTAAAAATATATATTATATATTCACATATAAAATTTTAAACATCTAATGACAGTTATCTATATATCATTAATTAAATTTTATCTTTTTATTAGTTTTCTATATTAAGATACTTTTAAACTTCAGATATTGCATACTATGTTTTGTAGGAATTTTTGAGGAATTTTTAAGAAATTTGGAGGAAAACAAAAATATATTATTTGTAATTTTGAAGAATATTTTCAAATAAGAAAAAGCTTTTGAGAAACTTTTAGATATAAGTTTTTTTTTTTCATGTTATAATTCAGAAACTAAATTACAGATCATCGAAACAATTAAACTGTTGGTTTACCATGAGTGAGCTCCTAGAAACTCTCAAACAACTCAGCATAGTCGATGATCGACAACACTTAAGTGAGAAAACATTGGTTTGTCGTTCACGTGAGTTTCCTATATGGACTCAAGATAAGTGCTAAAGATTCTGCAATTTGCTAACTCCAACATCCAAAATATCAAATAAATTTCATTAAGTGAGAACACAAAATGGTTAGGTCGATCATCTACTTTACTTTAAGAAGATTAACTAAATTCAAATGATTACTTTGAATTTTTGTTTGTTATTAAAATACATGAAATCATCTAGTAGCCTCACAACTTTTATATGTGAATAATTTTATAAGTTTTTTCACATCTATGAAGTAATTTTTTATTCTTTACTTATTTAACAAAATAAATAAGTAAAAAGTAAAGAAATTTTTCAAGAGAAAATAAAGAAGGAAAAACTTAAAATGGCTTTAAAGGCTTTAATTTTTTTTTTTGTCTCAATGCTTACATATGTTTTTTTTGGGAATTTTCGAGGAAATTTTAAGAAATTTGTAAGAAAAAAAAATGTTACATAATTTGTAAACTTGATGAATTCTTGAAAACTGGTGAATAATTTGAGAAACTTTTAAATATCAATTTTTTTTCTATTTTAGAACTAAATCATCTTTGATATTAGGGCATAAAGGAGATTCCTAATTTTTAGATTTTGGAACATAGTGTAAAATCTATTAGTATTATATTTTCTTTGGCAATGCATGATAGAGTAAACACCTTTTTATCAGCAATATTATTTTTTCCCGAAAAAGCTAGCTGACCATTTCATCTCTAGTTATTATTTCGGTGGATCCGTAGATTAGTTTTTCAAGGTGCCTTGACTTTCCTCGAGTAAAATCTTATAGACTCTCAAACTCAGAAGAATTACCGCGCCGTTTATGAATACCACTTATATAGCAAAACTCCAAGCTATTTTATTTTATTTTTATATCAAATATATAAACGAATTATTTAAAATATGGTAAACATTTTAAGTATATAATATCTTAGCAAAATACTTAAAATGAAAATAATCAAAACTCTTAAGTTATAAGTTTTAATTTAAAAAAAATTACCAAAACATAATAATTCTAAGTTTTTTTTTCCAACCACACATTAATTAAAATAATATTCCTTGATTGGTAGCCCAATAAGAAATTCTAAGTTTTAATAAAAACAAATTTACCGATGCATAATACTTATTATATAAAAAAATGAGGATAAATTATCAAAAATAAGCAAAACATAAGTAAAACCTAGAGAAAATATAAGCTATGTAAAAAATATTGACAAAAATTTCGAGCTTAATCTTTTATTTTAACAATCTCTTAAACAATAGTTTCATCTTAACAAATACATAATATTTTAATGCTAATATACGCATACTCGATAATATCAAATAACCTAATATTTTTTTTTTTTTTTTTTTTTTTTTGATTATTTTCACGTCAACTAATTCATTTTATTAAGATTAATTCAGCAGCCATAGATCTAGGAGGATTCACACTCATTCCATTTGCCATAAATATAATGTCGATCTCATTACCTAATGAGCACACAAAAAAAATCCTTCTTCTTCTTTTTTTTGTAAAATTCAAAGAACGAGATGCTACTTGCTCTTACCATTTAGTTTTACATAAGATTACACCTAAAGATAAAAACACTAATCGTAGGATATAAAACACTAATCAACAATATCATAAATCAAAGTTTGGTGAATGACATTGTGATGTTTACAAACAAAGATTAACAAAGAAAGATTCAATTCACTAAAGTAACTCTTATTAGAGAAGAACATGAGAATGAGAGATGTCTACAAATAAGATTTGGATTTTATGAAATGACACATGAGATCAAAATCTTTCAAGATTCATGACAAAACAAAGCTCTAAATATGACACTAATGTCAAACTGATAAAGAACAAAGCATAGATTTTGGAATGTAAGTAAATATCATTTCAACACCATTAGTCTCACTCTCTCTATCTCGTTATCGAACCCAACCTGCTTCGATGTTTTCGAAGCTACCAACGAGACCGTCATCGATGAAATCTCCTCCTCCTCGTTTCACTTTTACCTCAGTGGGCTTCACGGGATAATCACCCGTGAAGCAAGCATAGCAGAAGCTCTTAGAGTCTTTCCCTAAGTGTTTCTTCAAGGTATCAAACGATAGAAACGCAAGAGAGTCACTCCCGATGAACTCGTTAATCTCCTCAACACTCAATCTGTTTGATATCAACTCCTCTGAGCTAGGTGTGTCAACTCCATAGTAACAAGAAGCCACAATAGGAGGACTAGCAATCCTCATATGAACCTCTTTCGCGCCCGCTTCTCTCAGTAAACGAACAATCTTAGACGAAGTCGTGCCTCTAACAATCGAATCATCCACCACAACAACTCTCTTCCCTTCTAAAACCCCGCGAACAGGAGACAGCTTAAGCTTCACACCAAAGTCTCTAATCTTCTGAGACGGCTCAATGAACGTCCTCCCTACATAATGAGACCTAATCAGTCCCTGTTGAAACTGCACACCAGATTTCGCCGCATACCCGAGAGCAGCCACAACGCCAGAATCAGGCACAGCGATCACAACATCGCACTCAACAGGGGACTCTGTAGCCAAAATCTCACCAAAAACATGCCTAGATTCATACACAGACCGACCAAACACAATCGAGTTAGGCAAAGAGAAGTAGATATGTTCGAAAATACATTGCTTGGTCTCAGGACGAGGCATCAAACACTGAGACTTCACACCATCCTTATCCACAACCAAAACCTCACCAGGATAAACCTCTCTCTCATAAGTAGCTTCAATCAAATCAAGAGCACAAGTCTCAGAAGCAAAAACAACAGCACCATTACTTCTCCTACCCATCACTAAAGGCCTAAACCCATAAGGATCACGAACAGCAACAAGCTTATCCTCAGTAACAAACACCATTGAATAAGCACCTTGAAGCTTCTCACAAGCATCAATGATCCTCATAAAAAAGGGTCTAGCTTTAGATATCGCAATCAAATGAAGCACAACCTCTGTATCAGAGCTAGTATTGAAAATAGAACCGTTCTCTTCAAGCATAGCTCTCAAAGTCTTGTAATTTACTAAATTACCATTGTGAGCAACACCTATGGAACCAAATCTATACCCGGCGACGAAAGGCTGAACGTTCTTGAGCATAGAAGCTCCTGCGGTTGAGTAACGAACATGGCCAATGGCGAATTCACCAGGTAACTGATCGAGTTTTGATTCGTTGAACACTTCAGAGACTAAACCAACACCTGTAATGGTTTGAAGAACCTTATCATTGCTTACAGTAACAATACCTGCACCTTCTTGGCCACGGTGTTGAAGTGCGTGGAGAGCTAAGTAACAGAGCCGTGAAGCTTCTGGATCGCCGTAGATTCCGACGACGCCGCACTCTTCTCGAGGCTTCTCATCGTCTTCGGCGTCTTGGTAATCAAAAGGGGTGGCCGGTGAGGGAGATGAGAAGTAGGAGGAGAGTCCATGGATGAGTGAAGGAGAAGGAGAAGAAGGAAGGAGAGAGAGATGAGGAGGTTTAAGGAAGGGTTTAGAGAAGAGAGGAGGGAGAGGTTTACTGGTTGTGTAAGGATTGTTTGGTTTAGGGATTAAAGAGAGGGAAGAGGAGAAGCTTGTCGTGGCCGCCATGGAAGACAAAACAGGGTTTGGTTGTTGTTTGGTTTTGGTACTATGATGTTTGTGTCTGTGTGAAAGCGATAGAAGAAGATGAAGTAGCTGAGGGTTTTGACTTTTTTTTCACTGTGTCGCCGCTCTCCGGAGAGAGCCTTTTGCTTTTGCTTTTCAAGGGTTTATTGGAGATTTCAAAATATTGAAATTACGATATGGAGAAAACAAAAAACAAAGGGAACAAAACTAAAAATATGTGATTTATTTTTTATTTGGACATAATATCTGTTTTTTTTTTGGAAAGAATAATAAACATATTAATTAAAACATATAATTTAATATCTAAAACAATAAATATTATCATTTTTATACTTACGATTTTTATACAATTTTTTTTTTCAATTTTACCTTTATTATCAAATACTATTTTTTAAAAATACTCTCTTTTCAAACTTTATCAAAATAACCACTAAAAATGTTGAAATATATCCAAATATGTGTGTAAACTTATAAATATACACATAAATTACCTTTGTATGTGTATAAAATTTTATATAACTTTTATAACTACCGTAAAAATAACTTATAAGAACCTTTTAAAAACCTTATAAACTCTTTTAAAAACATTTTAAAACTTGTAAAAACGATTTAAAACATTATAAAATATTTGTATCAAATCTCCTAGTAATAATTATTATATAGAAGTACCTTATACTCTATATAAATCTTTATAATTTTCAAATTTAAACAGGGGTATTTTTGGAAGTGGATAGATAAAAAATGTATTTTTAAAAAGGGGTATACCAAAAAGAGTATTTCTCAAAAATTCTCTTTTAAAACGTATAATTTAATATCTAAAACAATAAATATTATCATTTTTATACTTACGATTTTTATACAAATTTTATTAAAACTTTTACCCATACTCATTTGTATTAATTATTAATATATACATTAAAAATTAATTTAGTTTTATTTAAATAAAATAATGATATTAATGATTTATATTGTTAATTCCAAATATATATGTTTGGTTTAGGGATTAAAGAGAGTGAAGAGGAGAAGCTTGTCGTGGCCGCCATGGAAGACAAAACAGGGTTCGTAGGTTTTGTTGTTTGGTTTGGGTTTTAGGACTAAGCTATTTTTGATTTTGTGTGAAAGCGATAGAAGACGAAGTGAGGGTTTTGACTTTTTTGACTGTGTCGCCGCCCTCCTGATAGAAGCTTTTCTTTTTCTTTTTCTTTTTCTTTTCAAGGGTTTTTTGGGGATTTTAAATTTATTGGAATTAGGAAATAGAGAAAAACAAAAAACAAAAACAAAACTAACAGAAATAAATATATATATATCACTAATGTTTGAGCTAAACCCACTAAATATAATGATGGAAATTTGATTGTTTTCTTTTGTTTGTTATTTTTTATCTTATAAACTTCTATAAAATCATATCATATATAAAGTTATTATTGTATTGTGTTAAATACAAAATTTGAAATTGAACTTTAACTCACTAAACCATTAGACCTTCCAAACGGCCTACTGTTTAAAACAATTAAAAATCTACCCAAATCATTTTTAATTTGAATAAAGACTACTGTATTTTTTCTTTCTTCTTTCCTCAATTCCTAATATATTCCTTTAATTCGTTTCTTTTTTCTTCTATATAAAGCATTTAAAAAAAACTTTTAACCCGGATTTAAAGTGAAACTCACACAAACCAAAACATCTTTATACTAAAATCTTGGGGATATAGTCCATGAAGTGTTGTAATTGTAGCTCATCCATGTTGTAGCTACCTTAGTCTTCATTTGGCCACAGATTATGCATATGCCATATAAAACAAGTTTGCATGTGATCAATACTTGTTCAAGAATTCATAGTCTTTTTTTTTTATCATCAAGAATTCATAGTCATAACTAGGTGAAATTTTCGTTCCTCAATTTAGTATGCAAACAATCCTTATGGAGAAATATGTCTAACATTTATATATATTATCAAATTTGTATCAAAACTGTACAAATTAATGCATTTGTGTAACCAAAACTAATAACAACAATGTGTCAAACACTAGAGAGAGCCTTTTAAGGTGTTGATTGGTTCTCCCGCTCTCATCCCCCTAGCGGTTGCTAGCGGGCGATTGCGTTTGCTAGTGTTTGGTACCAATCATACAAAACGCTCCACACCGCTTGGGATCGCTCGAAATCGCTGGATTTCAAAAGCTCCTTTCGGCAAGCGTTTGCGGTTGCGGGCGATTGCGATTGATTTAAAAAAGGAAAGAAACTGAAAAAGAAAAATCTGCAAAATAAAATATATATTATTAAATCTTATATATATTCACATAATTCTCAAATAATAGTTATTCTCTAAATTTAATTTTCCAATATTATCAAATCTTATAAAATTTATTTATTTAACATTTGAATAATTATTTATTATATATATTTAGTAATTATTTATGGTATGTAATTTTTAGTCATATTTAAAATGTTTATACTTTTACATAAATATATTTTACTAAAAAATATATGTTTTTAAATAATTAGACAGTAATTTATTTATGGTTTTTAGTTATTAATCTTTTTTTTGACATCGTTACAAATTATACGTTTCTCTTTGAGAGGGACCGGGCTCGAACCCGGATCTGGTGAGAAGACAACAGAGGTATTTTATCATAATCATATTCATTTTTCAATATATTTTATCGTAATAATATAGTATTGGTATATTTATACATTTTTATAATTATATTTATATTTAATTTTGTAATTTTTGATGTAACCGCTATTGCAGCCGCTGGTCAACCAGTCATAAAGCTCCCGCAAATGCACCCATTTTTAAAAGCTAAACCAGTCGTTAAAAACGCTTCACAACGCTTGAAACCGCAATCGCCCGCTTCCGCAAACTCCCGCAACCGCAGCTGCAACCGTTGTGTTTAAACCAGTTAGACCCTAAATATCTTATATATGATTAAAATTGACTTAAATTCAGAATTTATAAACTTATTCCAAAATTTTATTAAATGATTAATTTTCAAGTATTTTTTTCAAACTAGAAACGCATTTTACAAGTACCAATAAAATCTAGGGGGAATTTCAAAAATACCCCTTTTCATATACCTCTTTTTAAAAATACCCCCTTTTCAAACTTTATCAAAAACCCACTAAAAATGTTGAAATTTATCCAAATATGTGTGTAAGCTTATAAATATATACAAAATTTACTTTTATACTTGTATAAAACTTTATATACCTTTCATAAATAGCGTAAAAATAAATTATAAAAACCTTATAAAAACCTTATAAAAACCGTATAAACCCTTTTAAAAACCTTATAAAACTTATAAAAACGATTTAAAACATTTTAAAATATTTGTATTGAATCTCCCAGTAGTATTTATTATATAGAAGTACCTTATAAACTATATAAAACTGTATAATTTTTATATTTAAAAAGGGGTATTTTTGAAAATTGATAGAAAAATGGGGTATTTTTAAAAAGGGGTACAGCAAAAGGAGTATTTCTCAAAAATTCTCTAAAATCTATCATATTCTTGTTTTTAGAGTTCCATTTCCTATCCAAATAACTTAGAAACTAATAAAACAAAGATAAAATTTGTGTCAAAAATCAAAATGGTTATTTTTGTCAGTAATGTATGTCAATAATCATAGTAAAATCAAGTTCCCATCAACAACAGTTAGCATGGCAACTCTTATTATGAATTGATCAAATTAAATTATAATTTTATTTACTTACAAATTTTTTAAATTGTTACTATTTTACGTCAATTTTATTTTATAAACATTGTTAAATTAATTAAATCAATATTTATTAACATTATTGAGTATTAATATACTACTTTATAATAAAGTCGATAGAGTATAATAATTTTGTGTTATTATTTGTTGCTCTTATTTTTTTTTTTTTTTTTTCTTGTTAAAACTTTTTAGTACTAATAATTTACTCCAATCTCTGTTATTACAGCTTTTATTGATTGCGACTTCAAACATGATTAAGGGTCATAAATTTTGGATACAGCTAAAATGTGTTTTGGCAAAAGTTTGGACACAACCATCATCATGACTCAGTTTCTTTTGCTTTATGTTTATATTAACATATCCATCATTTGCTGAACAAAAAAAAAAAAACATATCCATCATTTAGTATAGTTTCCTCTTCCCTTAATAAAAATATTAGGTTATGTAATATACCTTTTTTCTAAAATGTGAAGATTTTGTTACAATTCACTTATCATCATGCACGTTGACAAATCACAAATCCATGGGCGAAAGACAAGAAAACAAAGAAAAACCATTAAGAAATGGATTAAGAACAGCTACCACACGGACTACAGAACAAACCCGTGAGTTGGCAAAAACAAACAAATATGTAAAAATAACAAATTATTCATTTGTTTAGACAAAGATGTAAAATTCAAATAATGATTTAGTTTAACCACTTAGGTATTCGTGTGTGTTAGTTTTTAAGTAATTCGAATGAAAAATATTGAAGATTCCCTAAGTTGTCGAACTACGTGACCAACCCCATATTTGAAAGTATGTCATTCAATAATAGTATACATACATACCCAAATTTTTATTTTTATTTTAATTAGGAGGTCCGGAGAAGATCGGATGAAAATCCATGACCAAGTGGAAACATCTAGCGATTTCGCGTTTGAGGAGAATCGATCATTGGACTAGACCAACATGGCAACTACTCACTCAAGTTGAAACCTAAATGTTTTGTTATTTGGTTGTGAACTATTTTTTTAACCATAGTCTTAGGAGATGTATGTATGTACATCTAAGATTCAAACTTGTGTAGTATAATCTAAAGTTCAAGCATGCTTATAAACTACAGATCTCTTTGCTAGTCCCTTTTTTCTCACATTGGCTCTTAGTGTAAGTTAACTAATTTTGTTTTCTCTTTGCTTAAAATGTAAGTTAATTATTTTGCTTGTAAAGAAATTTGCACAGAACATAATCATTAAAGATCATAATTAACCTCTCTCACAAGTTTAACAACAAGACCAAAATATCAATGAGGAAAATATTACAAGCTATCTTTATAGATCTTAACCCACAAAAAAATTTCATATCATGGTTTTTTTTTTTTGTTAGCCGAGTCAAATCTTTATTGACTCGTAAAAAAAGACCCAAGATGAGCTTAAAAATAGAACCAAAAAAAGAAAATATAAGAAAGAAGACATTGAAGAGTCATTAAACTAAAGGAAAGAGAGAGGATGTTTTAAGAAAAAAAAGAGAAGCAAATCAAAAAAACCAAAAAAAAAACTTCATCTTTAACCATCTCGATCTCAGTCACCTTTAGCTTACTTCTTCTCTTGCTCTTCAAACTTTTGAGATCTCATCGGATCATAGAAGTAAGATCTTGAAAGAAGAGTTCATCACAAGGAATGGTGAGACCCATGTCGTGATCAAAACCAAACTCTTCCTCAGCTCTTCTAAGAAGACATTGGAAATCAAGATTGGTCAAGAAAGAGATAGGAACTATGTATCTACTCCTGTTGTGTCCTACGTAGACAGGGAAGTGTCCCTTTGGTACATCAAGTGGGAGATCATCTTCTACATATCCTCCTCCATTCTTCTTACCTAAGCTTGAACATCTCTTAAGAATCTGCCTTAGCATTGCTGTTTGAGCGAGCTTAGAAGATTTCTTGAGGATAGCCATTTTTTTGTGTTTGGGTGAATATGAGAGAAATGCTTAAGGTTGTGTTTGGAAAGAGAGAGAGAGAGAGAAAGAGAGTGTTGGGTGGATATTGAAGGGTGAGGTGTAAATATATATAAAGACATGCATGTGTTGTGTAATGTGTCTCTGTGTCTTGTGAGATATGTGTGGAAGCCAAAATGCCAAAAAGACATAAGAGGTTATAACCATTTTGTTGTTGGTCCTCTTATGACATTATGGTCCCTTTTGATCTCCACCTGGTTTGTAACAATTTAACCCATCAATGCTATGTGGATTTAATCCTTTAATAGACTCGATGTCCGGGGACGCATCATATACTTTAGCGATGTTAAAAGTGGATTCAAAATCTGTGACTCGGATCAACTTATGTTTTAAAATGGTCTGATCTTTAAAGTAATGGTTTTAGATATAAAGGACCGGACATGTTTTAGTATGACCGGACGTGTTCAACTACCTATGGTCAGTGTTCAAGAAAGCGTTAGGTAGTATCTAAGGCGGTAATCCAACGTTTACTACCTAAAATGTTTAATCGGGGTCTAGGCGATTTTAGGTATTTACAAAATAAAACATCATTTTTATGATAGTATAGATAAAAATTTATGTAAAAACTATATGTTAGAGAAATAAAAATAAATAAATCATAACTAAATATGAGAAAAAAAAATTATTTTATTTCTATAAACAACATATGAACATTTATAATTATATATAGATGTAGAACTTAACATTTTTAACCTATTTAGTTAAAAATAATAAAAATAGAACCTATGTAATTTTAGGCGGGTTAAGCGGTTGTCTATACTTCGATTGAACGCTTACCATCTAGATGGAACCTAAACCACCGTCTAAACCGCTTTCTAGAACACTATCTATGGTATGTAAACTGCTTTTTAGTCATCCTCTTTTTCATCCTCGTTATCACATTATAGAGAAATAGCGGTTGTTTTAGTTATAATGTATATATGAAGTCATAACAATTGGTCCATTGGAGTTCGAATAATTTGGAGTTTCAAAAAAAAATGTTTCTGTATAAACTCATGTTCTAGTGTTGGAAAAGACATACACAGATGTCATGTAGATCGGTAATAGATTTTCACAAAAGAGACCAGTCTTCTTCTTATCCCCAGAAACTGCTAATTACTAGGATCGAAGTACACCAATACTAGGAGGAGTTAACCCACGTCAAACAAGAACTCTATATTAAAATGACTTTGCCTTTTTAATTGGAAAATACTTGTCCCTTTTAATATTTGGACGTTGTTTAAAATGCTCTTTAGATTTCACTAATTTAAAAAAATAATAACATTTGGTTTCAAAGAAAAAAAAATATAAGTTTTAATAAAAAAAACTTATGTCAACCAAACGTTTATTAAAATACTATCTTGTGATTAGTAAATCAAACAGAAACAAATTATGAAACGATTACTAATATCTTCTTAATTTTTTTTATATAAAAAATTCGACTTTGAGAAATTTGTTTTGGAAATTTTAAAAATCTCTATACTGTATATTGTGGTATTTCTAGTGATAAATATAAAATAAAAATGTGTAGTTTATGAAATCTCTTTTAGTAAGACCTAACCCCTCCTATCCCCTACCACATCCCTAACCAATGACATATGACAAAGAATAATATAAGAATCTCCAAACAAATATTAGTATTGTATGGTTTAATTACTATGGACATACTTTATATTTTTATATGTAATTTTCCATTCATCAAAAAAAAACTTTTAACCTTTATCATATACAAACATTTATCTATAAAAAAAAAATACTGTCAAAAGTTATGAATTTTTATAACTATTTTAAATGTTTTTCTTATCATACATTTTTTTTTGGTTTGTTGAAAGAAACAGTTTGAGATGTGTCAATTCGTGTCTCTCTACCTGCAGAGCAGAGGGCGTCGTTAAAGTGCGTAAATCACGGACTTTGGAAACAGCAAATGTACTGAAGAGTACAAAGAAGGGCAGGACCTTTTGTTTGTGGTCAGGAAAGAGCTTGTGACACTTTCAAACAAAATTATTATTTTTTGTAGTTACTATTTTAATCTCACTTCTGCTAACACCACCCATGTGCTCTCTCCTCCATTTCTTTCTATTTACTTTGTTATGGTTGGTTTCTCACAACTCTGAATGAATCAGTCTCTGTTCATCCTTTTTCCAAGGTTAGGTTTCAGTGATTCCCTAAATTTCAGTCTATCAAAGCATGGGAACTATTATTCGGAAACCGCTCCAATCTAATTTTGATATCCGAAGACAACCGGATCCAATAATAAAATTACGTTTCAGAGAAAATTGATCGATATATAATATATTAATTTTAAAAATATATTGATATTTATATAAAAAATAAAGGTGAACAAAATACATTATATGATAATAAATTTATGTTAATCATTATGTTTAGCATTTGGCATTTTATTTTACTCTAAATTATGTTTTATCGATTTGAATCCAAATCCGGATATTCACGGATACCCGAAAGCCATAAATACAAATACTCTACATTAAACATCTATTTTATTCATGAAAGTATAGTTTAAAATAAGTGACCAATTAAAAATCATTTATAAAATTTAAGATTTATTCGGATATTTTAAAACTTCGAATTGATTTTAATTTGGTTTTTCTCTTTTCATTTCCAACTCTATATTTTTGATTCGTTCATTTTTCCGGAAGCTTAAACTTCATCCCTTTTAACTTAACTAAACTACCAATACGTGGATAAAACATATTTCTTTATAGCAAAAGAGTGCTTGCTCGCTATTTTATTAAATATTTTAGTGTTACAAAACTTGATTTTCATTGAAAATTTTGTATAGATGTTGGTTTGAATAATTAATTATATCAAAAGATATGGCTTTTCAGAATTGAAAAAGAAGATATCTCGAGAAATAGACCGCAATTTCCATAATCAAAGGAGCTGATTTTGGTCAAAAAGCAATTTGATGAACGATTTGTCATAATCTCTAAAACAAGAGTATAAGTTTTTTCAACATTTCCATCTGCATTTCTCTTGGGAGCTATGTCCCCATGTGTTTAGAAGGGCCACCTATGTCTCTTTAGCTCAACTTTTTGTTGTTATGTGTTAAATAGTTTTTCATTGTTTTCTTTCTAAAATATACAATTTTCTTCTTTTAATCATAGTACAATTAGGTAAAATAGCATATTTGATCATTTCACTTGGTCAGATAATGCCATCATAAAATTGTATCAAATAACTAACAATTTAAATTATTTATTTCCAAAAATATGATCATACTTGAGAAAACTTTAATATTCATTTCGATTTGGAGTGATGCAAACAAGTTTTTGGAAACTTAAACTTTTTACAAACTTAAGAATGTAGTCTTTTAAGCATGTATTATTTTTAGACATTTTTAAAAATAACCCCAAAAAAACTTATAAGTTTTGGTAATTATTACAAAATTTCTGGAATTCTCCTAATTTTTTAATAAATTTTGTATATATGTTTGTAATTTCTTAGAATTTAAATGTGTTTACCATGTATAAGCATTGTTCATCAACCTCATCATAATCATTAATTTTTAATATATTAAGTATATACTTGGAATCAAACTCAAACCGCCATTTTAATCAAAGTTAATATTGCAAACAAAAAACGATAACTCCAAATGATACTATTTGAACAGTTGAGTCAAACGAAAGAGATCACTAAATGGAATATGAATGAAATTAAATTGATTTAATTGAATAGAAATTGTCTTATATGAAATAAACCAATAAACCATGGCTTTCAAAACCCATAATGCAAAGACAGACACAAAGTCCGGAACTGGTCGGAAGACAGATCTTACCATATTTACGTGTTCCTTCTTTTTGTTACTATTTCAAACTCCAAATTTGTTTCCATTTTTCTTATAACACGTCTTATTCTTGGACAAACACAATTTAACTAATTTTGGCTTATTTTTTTTGTTAGATAAATTTACATAAGAAAAATCAAATACATTTGTAAGAGAAATTAAACGACAATGTACTTAATGATGGATCTGAGCGACAAAGCTAGATTTACATTTCATGAAATGATGGCATATATGTATTACATTAGTCCCTAACCTAAAATCCAAAAACATGTTTGTTGTCTTTCTAAATACTATTTAGTCATTTATTGAATAGTTGCAAATGTCTTGTCTAGTGACAGAAACTGGCTTTGGAGTACATGATTCCATTGTGTTGTTTTATTACATTTTATGTCAATACTTCCTTACAAAAATCTATTGAGCCATTCAAAATCAATCCATGCATTTCACTTTTTCTCTTGAAATTTTGGTTAGTATTACTCAGGTTTTGGTAGCTCAACTAGCGTATAACTTGGTCACTTAGAAAGAAAAAAATGAGCGAGTTAGGAAAAATCCAAATTAGAGGACTAACTTAACTAACTATGGTCTCTGACTAAGAAAAATTATACATGGTTAATTAGGCCAAAAGTTCTTGGCTAATCAAGAAAATGTTTTTCTTATTTTGGTGGTTTTATAGGATGATGACATTAATTGGGGTTGAGAGGTTAAATTAGCTGTGAGCACATGAACGCCATGTTACTCTTTTACTTAGAAAAATTTCTTAATTTGTTTATATGTTATTCTACACTCTTTATAGCTTCTAGAAATGTTACATACCTAACTTGATCGACCTTATCTCTAATTACTAGTAGTAGTACCATAAGCTATTAAAGGCAAAATAAAATTAAAAATATAGTTGGTGTAACTGTACGCCCATGGTTTTAAAACATTTATATGCTGTAAGCATAAACTTTTCCATGTACGTTGGTCTTTAGAGCAAATATAGTAACGGTGCACGTTCATGATGTCATATACTACTATCAATTAGTGGCCTTCAGTTTCATCTTTTGGACCAGACATTTCTTCAACCATCCATGTTTTTTTTTTCTGATGATGATAATGATTTATTTAAATAGTGTAGTATCATAAAATTAGTGGTGTATAGTTAGCTAAAGTAACAATACTATATGTTAAAATCTCGGCCATGAAATCCTTTTCAATGCCACTTAGTCTGTTGACCGCGACTTTTATTTCATCAGTCACTTCAGCGGTTGATGAATACTCGAGAAACCGTGTGATCACTTGCGCTAATTTTTTTTCCTAGCTTTGTTCTCAAAGTTCTCATGTATCTTTTGTTGA